AAGGGCTTTTCATGTCATTTGATTAAATTACTTACCTTTGTGTCTATAGCTTTTATATATGTCCATGTTTAGGATATGAAAAGTTATGAAATCTGGATTGGAAAAAGTACTGGACCTCGTCTTGCAGAAAAGTCAGAGCTAACTCCTACTGGGATTATTTTGCCAACTGATTTGATACTTAGTTACTGATTTTTAAAATATTTATTTATTGCACACAATAAGCAACTTTAAAAGGACAGATGACCCAAATACAGCATATAGTGGGAGCAGTATGACTTTAAATATGGATAATCCAAATGGAGCACCTATGGGTTATTCCTTTTCCCTGCTTTCAAACCAGTGCTTGACAGCCTTTGGGTCTGAATTTACTGCCGCTGCTCAGGACCAGGACTTTTAAAGAGCTACCCTTTAATTAACCTTAATTTGTGTAACCAGCAGTTGGGTTAGTATGATTCATAGGGTTTGTGTATTTCACAGCATTTTTTCTGGTTAGCAGGTGTAACATGTCTCAGATAGCCATACTAAGAATCCCTTTTTTTTTTTTAGGTGTTGATCCAATTATATGGGAACAAGCCAAAGTTGATAATCCTGATCCTGATAAGTAAGTCAAATAGTGTCCAAGTATTGAAATATTGCAACAAGGCTTGAACAGGGGAGAAGGAGATAATAATTGCATAGTACCCTTCAGGAAACTTGAAAGAAAGTTACTTGAGTAGAACTTGGCCAAGCGCTGATCCCCTTGAAAGCAGTGAAGATTACTGGAAGTGCCGGTCTTAATCCCTTTACCCATTTAGGCGCTTAGGAGCTGTCAGGATAAAGAGTCTTACTTGGGTTCCTTGGAGGTGTGGTGTCCTCCATTACATGGATTAGTTATTGTGACTTATTTTTTGCAACCATTATGGTTTTTTTCTCTTTCTTGCTGAATGTGCTGCACCTTTGTACCCTCCAGTGGTTTCAGATAAATTGGGCTGGTTTCTTTATGAAAAAGGAACAGGTTGTTTGGAATAGTGAGGTCTCTAGAACTTTGCAAAAGAAGATATGGTTATTTATTAATTTATAAAAGATCAACATAATCTGTGACTTTATATTAGATTCTGTTCATAATTATTAAATCTTATCATGTGTCCAGTATAAAAACATGTTGTAAGAAATATTTGTGTTCTAGGCTTATTCCTGTACCAATGGTGGGTTTCAAGGAACTGCTGAGAAGATTGAAAGTCCAGGATCAGATGACCAAACAGCATCAAACTCGATTAGATGTAAGGGTGCTCATCTTTATCGTGACTTGCTGTTGACAAAGGATGTGCTATTAAATGCACCTGCCCCTGTGTGTTCAAAGCAGAAACATGAACCATGTTCTTAAAATATCCCTTAAATAGATCTTTGCCCAAAAACTGAGCAGATTGGTTGGGCTTTCATTTGTTTCATGTTCAGGCTTACTGTTTTGTTACAGGCTAATCCACACGAGCTCCATTAAGTTGTATTGGCATGGACTTTTAACTTTGGACAACCAATTTTCCAATGCCTTCTGAAAATCTCAGTTGTGTATGAAAATAAGCATAAAGCAGAACAATAGAGGTAGAAGAAAGCTTTCTAAAATCATCTGGGTCAAAGACACCAAATTGCTGTATTGTGTAGCATCATGAAGCTCCCAGTTTTAAATCAGGCCTACTGTGTTGTGTTATCAAAAACTTCTCTGGCTTCCAATTTACTCCTATCTCTTCTGCAGATAATATCAGAAGATATCAGTGAGCTGCAGAAAAACCAAACGACAACTATGGCAAAAATTGCACAGTACAAAAGGAAACTGATGGCGCTTTCACACAGAACTTTGCAGGTAACAGGGATAATCTAAATAAGTCCTTTGACACAGTCTAGTGCCACAAACAGTCTCAGAGGGAAGAAGAACCTGTTCCATCTTGTGCAGGCCAGTGCTGAAAATTATTCTGACTTCAGCTAACAGGTGTTCATTTAAGTACCAGGCAGAGCTGTCAGGGAAAGCTCAGGTCTACCATACTTGGTAATCTTCTCTCTCACTTACCCAAAACCACAGGACTGCCCTGAGGTCTTAGAGCAGCAGACTAAATGACAGAGCAAATCCAGTGAGAAACAGGCTGAAGGAAGGACAAAAAGATGTAGATGGACTGGTGGGGAGACGGATGGGCCAAGTGTTCTCTAATGAACGTCAAAGGCTTCTTTTGTAGGTGCTAATAAAGCAGGAGATCCAAAGGAAAAGTGGCTATGCTATTCAAGCAGATGAGGAGCAGCTTCGTGTACAGTTGGATACAATTCAGTGTGAACTTAATGCACCCACGCAGTTCAAGGTGAGTGGCTGACAGAGTTTGGCTAACACCTCTGGGGTTTCCTCACTAAAAACATGTCAGTTTTCCAAACCATGTGCATCTATTCATTGTGGAAGGTCTGGCAATGTGATAGGTTGTAGCATCATGCTCTTTGCTGAATAGCCAATAGGTATTCCAGTAGTTTTGAGTTCTTGGAAATAATGGAGTCGCTTACCCTTTGCATGTCTTCTGGAACATCTAAAAATTGAATGAACAGCAATACTTTCAGCCCTGGAGACTCAGGGAATGGCAGATGCTGAAGCTGTACCAGCTGTAAATGAGTTGTGTTTGATTGAAGCCTGTTTGTCTTCCCAGGGTAGGCTGAATGAGCTCATGTCTCAGATCAGGATGCAGAACCACTTTGGAGCAGTGCGGGCTGAAGAGCGCTATTACATAGATGCAGACCTCTTAAGGGAAATCAAGCAAGTAAGTGTTACTGGGTAGAACCCTGGCCTACCCTTTGAACTTTATCATTTAAGCCAGACACACACTGTCTGGATCTGGAATGCCATGTTCTTGCCTTGGTTGATGAAGTAATCCTTATAATTGGTCTCAGTGCTAGGGCACCAAGATATTGTACAAAACCATTTGGTGGAGATAGGCTATTAGTACAGAAATGCTGTTATTCCTTCCTCAAAGAAATGATGCCAGGATTATCAGTGTGCCAATGCCACCAGTCATGACACTTTTCAGAAATATTACCTAATAAGTCTGTGAAGCTGAACAATACTCACACTGGTTTCTGAACTGTCTGCAGCACCTGAAGCAGCAGCAAGAAGGGCTGAGTCACCTAATCAGCATCATCAAGGATGATTTGGAGGACATCAAGCTAATAGAACACGGGCTGAATGAGAGCATTCCCATCCGAGGGGGAGCCTTCAGTTGACTGGTGGAGGTTTACACAGAACATGGTAGTGGAGTTCATGGCTCACCTTCCAAGGCTAAAACTGTTGAGGTAAAATAAAACACATATCTTGTAGGAGCAAAATGGTATTTTGTCTGTTACTTTAGAATTAGCAAAGCCTCTTCTAAGCTTTTAAAATTGACCTTTGGAAGGTTTCTATTTTATAAAGCTTATATGCTTTAACAAAAGAAGGAAAACTGAATCTGTTCAGATACCATTTTACTATAAAACTATATGTACTATTGTACATTTTTTCCTTTTTTCATTTTTTACAACAGCGTTGTCCTAAAAAATGCAGTGCTGAGGGGATTGTTTCACTAATGACTCAGTTTGTGGAAAGCTTAGTCTGCTTCCATGTTCTGTCAGAACGATCAAGTAGCACCATTGTGTAAACAGCTAACTTAAATCATTATAGAGATGTTTGTTGCTGTAACTGTGTTGTTCTCTGCAATACCAGTCACTTACTGGGGCAAGCTGCAGAAAGTTCATGTTTCCAGTTTCTGTCCTTCCTTTGGACTGCAAGGATCTAATGGTTATGTTTTGATCACTTTACATATATGAACTATACAAAGCTTTGCTGCCCCTCTAAGTAACAGTATGTCCGGATGTTGTCTTCTGCCTTTTTTTAAATTGCCCAAGAGTAATAAATTCAGTCTGACTTTGTAATAAGTGGTGTGTGGTGTTGGCTCTCGGTGACATCAGCAAAGCAGTGACGCTGCTCGCAGCTCCAGGTAAGTGCACTTCACTCTGCTCCAGGCACTGCAAGGTAACAGGCTGTCAAACCCAGTGCCACAGAGCTGCTTGGCAGCCTCAGTCCCCAAACCACAATGAAAGGTGTGGCCCCTAGATCCTACCTGGCAGCAAGGGCTGCAGAGCAAGGACCTACTCACCCCCTACCATGGAGAGATACCTGCTTTTCCCCTCAGTACCAAAGTCACTTAAAATAACTGAAACATAAACCAGTGATCTCTGCAGTAGGAGTTTGTACAACAGAAACAAACATGGAAGAGGCAAAATAATTTTATTCATTAGCCATCAGAATTAATTCCATTTATTAAATTTGAAGGATGGAAGGATAGAAATACAAGCTGTAATGTGCTGGGACCTGTATTGTGCATTTAAGAGTGTTTGTGGAAGCATGATTGCATTACAATTGAAAAAGCCTGAGTGGAACTCTAGTTAAGGGGGAACATGATTAGTCCAATCTATGCTTTTGGAAGCATAGTTCCAGTTAATAAATTGTCTGCACTGGACAATGAGCTCTATAAGAAATTCAGTGAGACTAGAATTCTCTTTTGGGGGCTGGGGTAGGAGTCTTAAGTGAAGTCTTCTGCCATGGGGCCACTGCTAGACTGTGCTGCTTGTATTTGAGAAACACATTGTTTCTTGTTTTGCAAACTCTTCACATTCCAGCTCACTTCATGAGCTGGAGTCCTACCATGCTTTGAAAATAACAAACCTGCAGCATAGACTCCCTAGCAGGGGGCTACTTGATCTACTGCCCTGGGCTTTGAAAATTAAATTATCTCAATAGATCTTTTAAACACGTCCCCCTGCTAGAGCAGTGTTGCACATTTTAGGTATTTCTTCCAACATTCTGCTCTACTACTACGTGTACTTAGTAGCTTCGAACTTCCAGAACAAGCTTACCACAGCAGAGGAACACGAGCAGGGGAGTAGGTGTCATCACTGGAACAGCACTGCTGCTCACAGAGTTAGCTAGAGAAGAAATGAACAGCCAAGTAACAGCAGTCTAGAAAAAACAGTTTATTAAAAGGAAAGCTGCGATCAAACAGGTGCTACCTCCTTAAAACGCTGCCTACAAGTAATACATGGACTTCCACTTTACTGCACTTCAATACACCTGTAACATTTTCTCACATTGACAAGAGAAGCTAAGTTGCATCTTCCCTTGGAGCAGGCAACTATTTAAAACATAGCTTCTTTTAAAAGCAGTTTGAATTGAAGTGCAGCTCATCTATTTCACCTGTTAGCTTCCCCAGGTGGGTTACAGCTATCACCTACAGTGATGTCTGTTTTGGGCACCTGCCTTCCCTTTGCCTGCTTGCCGTCTGCAGGCACACTCTAGGTGAGGTGGGACAGTCCTGGCTTTGTAGAAATCAAGGCATGGGACATGGCAACCCTCGGCAGGTTCTCAGGAGGGGCGCTGTTTGACGAGGCGGAAGGCTTCCAGGAACTCGTTGAAGTCAATGTTGCCATCCTTGTTGAAGTCAATGCTGCGGACCAAGTCGTTAATGCCATCATCCGTGAGTTCAATGTTCATGTGGGAACTGAACAGCTTCCATGTTTGCTGGAATTCCTCAAAGGAGATGAGACCTGTGGAGGAGTGTTTTACATGCTGCAGCTAGATCTCCTAATGTGGAGAACACTGGCTGAAACACAACTTAAAGCAGCAAAGAGGCATAATACAAATGGACATGGCAGAAGCGTGGGAGGGAGCAGGAGGACCCAAGCCTAAATAAAAGCACCTGTACACATATTAAAGGAAGCTCTAAAGCAGAAAGGAACACAAGGCAGTGACCAACAGGCCCTGCAGATGTGCTTACCTGAATGGTCTCTGTCTATGATCCTGAATATGGTCTCTAAGTTGGATCTGTTTCGATAAATGACTTCCAGCAAGCTCGACTGGATGTGCTGAAAGACACAATCACAGTTTTTGTCTTTCTGACACCTCTGCTCTCTCTGAGTTGTTATTGCAGATGTCTCCACAAACAATAATGTTTTTTGCTCTCAAGAATTTGCCAACAGTGCCTTATCAACCAGGTATGTTATACCTGGATCCTCTGTGCAGCTGCAGAACAGACTATCAGCAACTTGTCCCTTCCCATCAGCGTTCTTAGGGGCTAACAGCGAGCCAGGCTGCATTTTATAACCACTGCAGAGCTGCATTTGCTGGGCATCATTAAGAAACTGCTACTTGGAGAGTGGAATAGTTTTCCTACCCACAAGCCTGCATCCAGAACTACTTCTAAATTTTGATTTCACATCCATCATCTTTGTAAAAACAGGCTGGGTGCCCCAGGAATACTTGAGCTCAGGCAAGACTTCCTGTCACCTACAGTGTGATTTTGGATTATGCAGTTACCATGCACTGTCCTTTTGTACTACAATTGACAATTTGTACATGTGAGGGATCTGGTGAGCAGCTGTTCACATCATGCTTTGATGGAAGGGGCTGAGTGCTTACCTCTTGGCTCCTCTGCTCCATGGCCAAGTCATCCAGCCAGGATTTGTATTCCAGCATGCCATCCTCAGTGCTGCGCACCAGCTGTGGCCTCAACATTCGCCAGGGCAGTCCCAGCCGCAGCACTGACTCCACTGCTGTTGCCCAGTTGCTCAGAGTGATCTTTCCTGTACACAAAAGGGAGACACCTCTGGGACACAGGCAGCAGAAAGCACATGAAGGCAAAGACAAAGCCTGAAACAGTGACATACAGTTTAGGTGCTGCTGACAGCACAGCATTATTTTGCAGTGCAGGCACACATACATATGCTTCCCATCCAAGCCTCAGCAAGCTTTTCATCATTGTAACAAATCAAGGCTATGAGGCTGCAAACATCTGAACAAATGCGAGACACTAACTCTTGAGTATTTAATTAGAAATTTGCAGCCCACTGCCCATTTTAGCAGTGGCTGTAACAACTGAGCTGGATTCCTATGAACAGTTGTGCTGGCAGGGAAGAAAGCAAGAAAGCAGTTTTCCCTATGAGCAGTTCTGCCAGCCACCATATCCCTTTTTTCCCCCAGCCCACCAATGGACAGTTCGCAGCAACAACTCTTGGTCACTGCATCAACACAGCACTCCTGTCTGCCACAGGAACTCTCAGCTCCTTCCTTAAGGCTCTAACAGAGACAACTGCCATCAAAGACATCCCTCTCTTTACTCTCCTAAGTGAGTTGGACTCCAGGGATGAAGGGGCTCTTCATCCCAGCCCTTCTCAAGTGACAACAGACATGTTCCAGGTCATCTTCCCAAGGCTTCATCAGTACTCCAGCTGCAAGGAGTTGCTATAGGACTATCCTCAATTACTACACTTTAGGCTAATGATATCCTGCTTTTCCAGCACCCCCACTTTATGGTGTCACTCAGAGGCATCCACAGAGACTGAGTAATAGCAAATTACCTCCAGCAAGGTTTGATACAGCCTGCCCATGACAGCTGGTGACAACTTCAGTGAGCAGTCTCCCAGCCAGCCACAAACTCAGTCCCTTCAGCCCTATGCAACCAGGCAATGAACCCACACATCCCTCAGCTCTGAGTTACCTGTATTGTCCCCATCATAGGACCTGAAGGCAGTGATGAGGGCTGAGGTGTGAGCAAAGAGCTTTTCCCGCAAGGCTCGAAAGGCTGACTCCTCTACTCTGCTGATTCTGGAGGATGCAGAACAGAGAGAAGCATTTGAAGGACTTGTCATGAATGAGAAGAAAAACTGCACCTTCCCTCCCAGTGCTCCACCTGGCTTGTCCATGGAATGCCCAGAGCCTCACACAACTGCTCTGCACAGCTACAGGTGCATCTCAATGCTTGTGACAAGGCACTGCATGCCCAGGGCACAGTTCCCAGCCACAAGTCCCTGCATTCATTTGTGAAGTAACCATGCAAAAGAGAACCTCAGCAAAGGTCAAAGGTTAAAACCTGACATGGAAAAGAGGAGCTGAAGAAAATCAGCAAGCTGTAGAAAAATCCCCTTGGAATTTTGTTAACAATCCCTTCTCAACCCTTGAGCTTTCCGCAGTAACTTCAAGTACAAACCTTAATCCCTCCTGTAGAGCTATTCTTTAGAAAATCGAGCTGTGAAAGTTCATCTCCAGAGTCAAACTTTCTAAAAGCTCACAAAGTTTTCCCTTTGGGAATTTTGACTTGGCGAATACAGAGCAACTAGAAAGCCTTGCCTTTGAGTCATAGTGAGCATATGGGCTGTCTTGTTTGCTTGGTACTGAACGAAGTGGGGGATGAGGTCTGGTCCCAGCTTCACATAGGCTCCCCTGTTGCTGCCAATCTCATAGTAGTTTGAGGCTGAAAAGATGGTCAGCACCTAATCCCAAAAAAAGGCATTTGCAGTCAGCACATACATCCTGTAATATTTTTATACGTGTAAGCAACACACCTGATCCCCCCTGGAGTCCACAGACTGTGAAAGCACCATTTTATGTGGAGAAGAGGGAGAGACAGCTGGCAGCTGGCCTGGAAACCATGCCAGGTGTGAGTTCCTCATGGGTGGCACTGGTTACACATGCTGGGCTTCCTCAATTTTTCTGTGCTCTCTCCCAACAATTCCACTCTCCAGAGCTGGAGTGCCCTGACAAAGCCACTGACCTGATTGTGCATCTTCTGAAAACAGAACTTGGCTGCAGCAGCTCAGTAGCACCCTTTTGTAGCTCACCTACGGGAACAGCTGCACTAAGTGGGGGCCATGGCAAAAGTGGGTTCAGATCTTTTCTCAAGCACCACACACAAGGACGTGGTCTGCCTGCACAGCCATGTCCCCAGCAGAGCAGGTGGCTCCAGATTCCCCTGAACTAAGACTTCAGATGGAAACACACTTCAGTTAACTCCCAATAAGCCTGTTCAAGGATTTTGCATGTGCCTAAAGCCCCACTGGAAGAAATGCAGAACTGAGACAAGCCACCCTCCCAAGAAACCACACCCTGGCAGGATGGAAACCCAAGTACCCTTCACACCACCCCCAACTGACCTTGCGGTTGTGACAGAACTCGTAGCCCTCCTGCTTGCACTCATGAGAGCGGATGAGGAACTGCAAGCTGTACTTGTCAAGGAACTTCTCCGTCACATCAGGCCCAAAGTAGCAGCCACCACCTCGCACCTTATTTTCTCTGCAGCCCTCCTGAGGCATGGGGTCGCTCCAGAGGATGTCTAAAACCTGAAAGGATTGGAAAAGTTCACTAAGCAAGTACAGCTCAGTCTCAGAATCCCTCCCTAGACTGCTAAACCAGAGTGCCAGGGAGCAGACATTTTTCCTGCATTCCAGCTGAAGACTGTCACAGACCTGGGCCACCTCAGAAGTGGCAATATTGCTTGCCATGAGCTACAGGCACATCCAAAGTGCCTGGGGAAAGAGGGATGTCCATAACTCAGGCCAGATATAAGCTTTGTCTTTGCTAGCCTTAAGATGTCCAAGAGCCTTGCCTGTCTTGCTCCATCCCAAAACACAAGTCCTGGGGCAAGAACAACCAGCAGATCCGGAGGCCATTAGCAGGCTTAGTATAAAACGCCTTTGTTCTCTAGCCAGGACCTCCCACAATCTCCAGAAATAAAAGTGCTAACTCAGTAACCACTGTGTGGATTAAGGCTTAATCCCTTTAACCCTGACTTCAATATATAGCACTGAAGTGAAAAGGTGTGCAGCATTGGAAGGTCACATGTAATGTCAACTAAGTAGCAGTGGTTTCAGAGTGCACAGAAGAGACTCCCAGGCTGGAAAAACAAGGAAAGGAAGTCCCTAGCTGCTCCTCCCAGGAGGTAACAAAGGTACCCAGTGAAACATCCCCATGGCCTCACAGAACAGTCCTTCCTGGCCACCTACCACTGAACAACCAACTGGTGCAGGAGGCACCCACAGCACACCCAGCTCAGGACCTGCTAAGACTCCTCACCTGCTTCCACTCCTCCTGGCGAGTCCAGCACGGCTCATCCACATCCTTCAAGGAGACCACGCTGGAATAGGTGAGCTCCTCTGGCTCTGACTCGCTGATGTCCATTAGCCGGCGGCATGTGTCGATTTGCTCCTGCACCGTCTGCCGGAGCCACCTGGAGAACTCCAGCCTGTTGGCTGTGTTGGGAGCCTGGGCTGACTGGGGCTGCAGAGATAACCTGGGAGCTGCCTCATTCCCTGCTGCATCAGTGCCTGCTTCGCTCTCCCCATTTACGGCCTCTATTTGTGGTTTTCTACTCGATTCCTTCCTTTTCTTCAGCCTTAACACAGAAATAAACTGAAAGGTATGAGAGAAACAGAGCTGATAACACAGCATGAAACCCAGACCTCCAGCTCTAATGTGTTCCATTGGCAGACTTCAAGTGATCCAAGCCTCCAAGCCTCACTCCTTTCTTGCCATCAACTGCTGCTTGACTATGGAGAACTACTAGTGCCATCCTCAGGCAAGCCATCCTGGATTTGGAGCTGGGCCCCATGTCCAGGTCCCATCTGCAAAGGGAACTAGGCAGCAGAGCAAAGGAAGCATTAATGACTAAAGCAAGTGTTGTGATTTTATTTGGAGAAGGAAAGGGGTATTTCCCAACCAGGTGAGTGAGGCAGAAACAAGTTAAATGATTTATCAAACTACTTCTGGAAATCTAGGGGGTAAAAACAGGCTAAGGAACTGTGGGACAGTGTCTCATTATCACTGTATTTTTACTTCAGCACCAGCACATATTCCATAAACCAAGAGTGCTTCATCCCTTCACAGCTCCTGCATGCACACTAATAAACCAAAGCCTATACCTGAACACAACCTTGTCCAGGGCGACCATCTATTAGATTTGTCTTATCAACAGCTAAGCTGGCATGTAGAAATGAGCTTCTCACCACAAATCAGCAACACTGTTTTCTCTTGCAATAACTGGGAATAAAACCTACTTTGTCCCTTTGAATTTTCTCAAGCATTTCCAGGTCAGTGGTGTCAGAGATGCCCCCGTGAATAATGAGAACTTTCTGATCAATCAGGGTGGCCAAGGGCAGCCAACAGAAGACATTCTGAAACATCCTCAAGATTTTCTTCCCATGCACCTGAGAGAAAGAAAAAAAGAGATAAAGCATCAAGTCTTCTAAATGCACATCTCACATGGTAAATGAGACATAAACATAGGCCTACCTTGTATTTCTGCATCACTTCCTTGGTGAAACCATAGCTAAAGGAACAGGAGAAAGGAAGCTCAGTGGGATTTTGCACAAGGCCCTCGAAATGGTGCTCAGCCCTGCACAGAAGCCATACCGTAAGTTCACCATGTGGTCCTCGTGGTTCCCGCGGTTGAGATGAACCTCCTTGGGATAGATCAGGAGGAAGGTAAAGAGGATAACAAGGATCTCAAGGGACTGCTTGCCTCTGTCTACAAAGTCCCCATTGAACACATAGGACTTGGAAGGGGAAGGAAGGCCATTCTGTAAAAGCAAGGAACAGGCAGATGTCACCAGAGAGGCCTCTCCAAGGTGTCCATATGCCCCCCCCCAACCCCCCCCGCAGCTGCAGCCTCTTGCTCCTGTCCCAATTTACAACAGATCATTGCTCATCTTTATCCTGTGGGCCCCAGCAGTGAAACTGGCAGCCACAAAGTGGTATCAGCACTAGAAAAACACCCATTTGCACTAATAAATGGACATGGATATCAGATTTCCCAGTCAGTAAGGGACTGATCTACTGATTTGTGAAGCCATTTAAAACCAATCTAATTGACTTGGAGAATTGCACATGAACAGCCCAATTTTGCAAACATATCTCAACATGACCCATGGGATACCCATTGCAATGCTTGGACAACCTCCCTCTCCAAATTTGGTGCCTACCTTGTAAAAGATGAGGAACAGGTCATCCAGCTGGCCATGTAAGTCTCCTGACAGGCACAAAGAGATGAGTCACAGTATGTTTACCTTGAACTTTAAAAAAGCACCAATATGTAACTTGCTACAAACTATGTTCTTTATTAATTAATCACCACAGAAATACTTTGGGAAGTGCAAGCCTAGAGAACAAGGATACAATGTAAGGCTTGAGCTGAAGTCTGAGAAGGACAGTAAAAAAACCTACACCATCTGCTGAAGACTGATTTTGAAGCTTTGTTCATTTATCTTATGTGGTGGCACAACATGGCACAAGATTGTCATTATATGGGAGGAAGCTTTGCATTCAAAATAACAATGTAATTCTCATTTAACATAATATTGGAGAGGTTTGTTTTCCAGAGGCTGACTGCATGCAAGAGTCTGTGCTATGTATTTTTCATTAGTCAGAGTAGGAAAAAAGTGAAAAGCTTTGTCTCAAATTTACTTATAGGACACAAAGAGGCGTTAACATTCTGGATCTGCATGCACACGCTGGTGCTAACCCAGAAAAGCTCCAGGATTTTGTTCTTTAAATAATCCCAGACCACAGAACAGGTCAGACCACTACCAAGTTTTGTGACTAGTCCTCAGCTGGATGTGGTTTCTGTGATTTAATAAAACAACTCCAAGTTTGGGGTGAGAGAAAAAAGGCCACCTGGGTATTTCAGACAGACCCAGCTGCCTCTCAGGGCACCACACACTTTGCTTATAGAGAGCATTTGTGTTCCACGTTTACTACAGAGGGTGGCAGCGTGCTCTTGCTGTCATTTTCTCTCTGCCCCACCCTCCCATAGGAGCATTCCACCCCAGAGGCTGCAAAGCACCCACCACACACGGTGACCTCCTCGCTGTAGCAGGTGGAGACATGGCTGATGTTTGGCAACTGCTTGAGGTGCTTCCTGGTCTCATGCAGGAGGTTTAAGACATAACGAGCATGGAGCTGCTACTAGGAGAAAATGAAGGGATTAAAGCAGGAAATCAGTGGCCTCTGAGCAGCACCACTGTGGCTGTAAAGACTCCACCAGGATAGCCTGGATGGTAGAAATTCTCCATGGGATGACAGTCTGTGCTGACCTATGGGCTTACAAACAAGATGAGGGAAATATTGGGAAACAGCAGGATGGCAGACACTTGCACAAGGCAGCCCAGCCTCGGCACTGAGAGGGCTGGCAAGGCAACCCTAAAGCCCCAGCACCTTGTGTACAAGACGATACCCACTAGGCTACACCACCTCCAGGAGCAGCAGAAATTCCAGCCCAATATCACAGGAAGAAAGTTGCTCCTCTAGATCTTCCTTAGCTTTTCCATATTGAACCAGTCTGTGAGTGACCACATGTCCTGCAGTGATAGATATGCTTAAAGCCAGGGTATAGGCATTTAATGCAGCTGGAACATGAGACACATTTGGTTTATAAGTTCTTTTTGGAGAAGGGATATTTTGGCCTAGTTTGCAGTGTAGCACATTAGCTAAGGGATGGCAGCAGAGCACTGCAGTTGTATGAAGGCTTGTCTTGTTAGTTCTGGAGTGGTACTCAGCTTCCTCGTAAAAAAATTCACAATTTGAATTTTGAACCGGAGTCCAAGTTGCATAGCACAAAACATTGTAATTGGCTGTCTCCCTCTGGGCCATCCTATACTTATTTACAAATTGAGACATTTGAGCAAAAAATGATGAAAAGTCTCAACATGAGCTGTTGCTGATTTTCCCCTTTTAAAATGAATTTCAGGCTAATATTGGTACAGTCCTATATAAAGTGTTCAGTTTTGTCAGGAATATATTTTCAGGAAGAAGAACATTTCTATGGCATTAGGAGATACCATATAGTTTTCAACCCCATTTTGTTTAAGAGCCAGACAGCTTGTTATACTCCAGTCAATTGAGCTTGGTAAGAAAGTTAAGACCAAATCATCTATCCTACACCCCAGTTCAAAGAAGGGGAGAGCATGGTACCTTTTTGGGATCCTTACTTGTTTCTGTTGGAAAGCTTCCAGCAAGGCCGTGGCATGGTCAGGGAGGAGTGGAAAAGAGAGATGGGGTCCAGTGTAGGAGTCTGGCACCTCTATGGATTCATAGTCACAGTATTTTTCCAGCTCTGCCTCTTTGTAACTTTCCCCACTTATGAACATGCGACTGATAAAATCCCCTGGACAGCAGATTAGTGGGGTTGATTAAAAAAAAAAAAAAAAAGAGAGAAACAGACAAAAAAGTAGTTAAGTGGCTCCAGGTACCATCCTAGTAATTTGCTACAGAAGAGCTGTTTGGTTAGGCTGGCACTCAGGAGCAATTGCAGCCATGGATGCTGGCTACTGCTTGGCACTGCTGCAGCACTTGCAGTGGGGAAAAGGCTGCGGAGACAAATGTCCATGTGCAGTGGGCACCTTTCTGTGATTCCATGAGAACATACTGAACCTTTATGCATCCTTCCAGCTCCTAAGAGCAGGAATTGCCCCAGATCCCTTACACAGCTCACAGTCTCCAGACAATTCAATCTCTAATCCTGATGCCATCACTCTTGAGACTCTCGGCCACATGTGCCATCCTGAAGATTGCCCAACACTGGGCAATGAATTATGCAGGGTGCAGCCTTTGGAGCTGTTTGTGCCACATCTGCAAATAGAACACAAACTTACTCTCTTTGCTGCTGCTTGGTGTGAACTGGTCCATGAGGTAACTGAAGAAGTTGTGAAGCTGCAGGAAGAGGGAAAGCCCATCATTCACCCCAGAAGGAAGTTCAACAGAATATCAACCTATCATAATAATCTTTCTGTAGTTTTACCTCTGCCCTTCTCTAGCTGTGTGATATGTACAGCAACTCTCATCGTACCAGTTTAAGTGTTGACTTTCTTGAAATGAAGTCAAAACAGTGGCTTTACCTTCAGCCACAGGCAGAAGTATGCTATGAGCCCTTCCTCTCTCTGAGAGCAAAGCAGCCATGTAAGAGAATTTTAATCAAAGTTAAAACCTAACAAACCAAATAGACTTGCCTACTGTGTTCAGACTCCAGAAAAGACTCTGTAAAATCACTCTTGTGGCTTGCTTTTGAGGTTCATTACATGCAACACATGCAGGCAGGGAATCAATAGGTTAAAAAGGGGCAGGAAACCCAGTCCCTGGCCCACTGAAGCACTTGGAGGGTTACCAGCCAGCAGCCAGAAAGGCAGAGTCTGGCACAGAAACCAGCTTCCTATGTGTTTTCCTAGCTGCTCTTTTCCTTGGCACCATACCTTGATCTGATCCTGCTCGCAGGAATACTCAATGGATTGAAAGATCCTCCAGGTGCAGCGGCGGCGCATTTCCAGCCGAGCCACATGGCGCCGGTACCACTGCTGAATCAAAACAGCTGCCTTGAAAGCTGGGGGACAAGAACAGAACCAAGCTGCTGAGCGGCACTGTCTGCAGCTGAGGCACCTGCAACAGCTCCTTCCCCACTCCTGAGCATGGAAGACAACCTTTCCTTTTCAGGAAAAGTTCCCAGGAATTGTATTCTTGTGCCTAAGGGCAAAAACCCCTCTTCTTTTTGCCTTTTTTGCAAGAGGTTGACCTGACCCTGCCTGACCAGAGACCTCTGAAGCACTTCCAGCCATTGCTGCTGGTTTCTTCAGCACCAGAGTTAACAACAAATTATTAGGACCTGAGAGTCCTAACATCTTCTTCAGTATTATTACAATATCCTCCCTTTCTACATACCTTGATCACTTTTATGTCCATCTTACCATCTTGAGGTGCTGGGGCTTTAGGAAACCAGAATTTTAACTAAGGCCACGCAAAGAGTTGGGAGAAGACAGGGTACCAAGTTTCCTTCTAGAGTCTTAAAAATATGGGGGTTTTTAACCTCTCTTTATGCCAGATAAATACCTCAGCTTTTGCAGTTGTGGAAAAACTTAAGAAGGACTCTATAGTAGCCTAAATATCAACATACCATTACCTTACAATAAAATAAAGACAAAACTACACCCACAGTGAAAAATAGGAAGCAGAACTTGGGCCATTAATGGCACAGAATGAATGACATGCCACAATTTCCAGGTACCTGTTTGAGGTTCAAGCCACAGACAGTGCTGACACCAGATGCTTTCCGCCAAACTATGGCTATCTGCCCTTTGATCTTTTAAACACAGCCTCTGTATTCTCCCAGTTCCAGTGTGTTCCCTTCAAAAATTATTTCAGATGATGTATGTGCCTATTTCAAGTGAAGTAAATGGGTACAGTTTCACATTTCCTTTTTCAAGTTCTGCCACAGAATTTTACATCTAGAATCTCTCATCCTCCTTAACTGTCCTTGATCCCACTCAGACCTGCTCTGCTACTTGGCATCTCCATTTGGATTACACTGCGCCCCTTCCTGTTCCTTTCTGGAACCCCACATTTAAAACATCTTCTAACACTGCTTCTCTGTCTTCTTTAGCTGAGGGGAGAAAGTGATGACTGCTGTATCCACAGGCTGGCTTCAAAATCCAAGGGAAACAACAGAGGTAGGGAACTAGGCCTGCTGCAGGAAGTTTATTCCTCTGTCACATTCACCAAAGCAGGGAGAGCAATGGGAGGTGTGTGGGAAAATCCCTCACCCCTACCCAAAGGCTGTACACTGGCAAGAGATAAAGAGATCATATTAATTCAATCAGCTTGCATTAATTACACAACAAATGGCCCTCCAGGTACTGCAGCAGGAAACAGAGACCCTTCCCTAAAGATGGTATCTCAGTGGATTATATATTGAAAATAATGATCCTTTTAAATTGTAATTCTCTTTCAGCACTGGGAATTGCAGAGCACAAAAAAGGAAGATCTACAGCTGCTGCTCAGTAGGGATGCGAGACTCCCTGAAGTCGTGGGCAAGAAGGTAAGATTTGGCAAGCTTTAACTCGGGAATAACTTCTGTATTCTTTGCCTTCTTTCTTGCTGAGAAAACGGTTACTGATCAGCTGGGCTCGGAAAAAATTCCTTGTGTTAACTCCACGCATAGCAAGGACAACCAAAACCTTTGAAACACATTATGTATTTCAAACCTATGAAAGACATGTTATCAAGTGCATAGTTAACATAAATACCACCATCAACAGCATTTAAGCCCCAGACAGGCAAGGCACTGTTTTTTACTCTGCTTTTATGGAGACTGACTCTGCAACTGAAAAAGCCAGGTGTTCTAATTTAGCAGTTTACCTGGGTGAGCTGTATCTGGCAGTATTTGTATCTGTTTGGGGGGAAAAATCAGCAACTAAGAGAAAGGTTTAGCCACATTTCATGATGATCCAAACCATGCATCGTATAAGCTGCTGAAAGCATAGCAAAGTGGCAGGACTCAAACCAGACTTCACTCCAAAGCCAGGCCAGTTTAGCAACTCTGCTTCTACATTGTCCATTGAAAACAGGCTTCAGACCTTGGACAGGGGGGACAGGGATGACATCTAGCATGCTGGATTTGGGCAGAAGGGCCTAAGCAACTGCCCTGCTGCAAATGGCCAAATCTGAAAGGTGTTGAGAGCCAAATTCAGAGAGGCTTTACTGCCGTGGGAAACTGTTGCTGAGCTATCAGATGTAGCACAAGGTCTCAAATAAGTAACTAGTGTTGTGTTACACTTGCTCATCTTAAAATAACCTGAATTTGTTGGGAAAGGCTATGAACCTCTGGTGCTATGGGTAACAGGTAAGTCTAACTTACATCAAAAGAGTTGTTCAATAATGGACAATAGCAAACAAAGTGTGAGTCACAACCTTATCCCCACTTTCAATCCTTATTTTCTTTTCCAAGCACTTGCAAACAGTTTGCCCCATCCTGCTGTGCTGCCACTGTTCATGACTGCATGATTCAAACAACAAAGACTGCTTATTTACTTTTGAACTCTTCCTTATATCTAAGGTCTTCCTAATCAACTCCCTTTGTTCCACAGCTGACACAGGCACACACCCACAAAATTGATACCATTACAGAAGGCTTCAAAAAACAAATCACCACAACTTTGAGACCCATAAACACGTCTGGATTATTAGCAGAGATTAAGAGCACTGTGCTGATGTAATTGGACAAAATACACAACTTTTGCTTTACACCTTTTTGTAGCCACACCATCTCACCTTCTTTGTAACTAGATTTATTTTGGCTGCACCAGTAAGAGCCTTGGAAAATAATCCAGGGGAAGCAGTAGGGTGACATCTCTCTCACTGTCAGCAGACACAACACTTGCATTACCCAGAAAGTGTTTCATCCAGCAGGTGTTAATGCTAAATGTTGCTTCGTCTCTAGTTAGGCTGGGGTGGATTTTAACCTACTCCTCGTCTAAATAGCTGGTATTTCCTCAAGCCTGTTGTCTTCTGCTGACACCTGAGAAGCCTTGTCACAGGATACTGAAAGACAGAACCTCACTTAATTGCTGTGAAGAAAACCCAGAGGAGAAACACATTCAGTGCAACCTCCCAACAGCACAGGCAGGAGAAAACAGGATGAGATCACTTTTCTAAGAATCACTCACCATTTTCAGACTTCTGCAGGGAGTACTTGTAATTGACATTTACAGAACTACCAGATCCCATGTTCTCCAATCAATGCTCCAACGTTGCAGACTGGCCCAGTGTCACCAAAACCACAAAAGAGATGCAGGGAAGACCATTTGGTCAGAATCAAAACAGCTGCAACATGTCCCACAGGGCCAAGAATCTGCAATTAAATATATTAACACTTATTATCAACAATCAGATGGCCTCTCTTGTGCCCAAGTACATTTTCTTCTACCAGGTTTCTCCAGTTACTCCCAATCAGATGAGGATTTTTGTCTCACTGCTTCACATTTCAAGTGAGCTTTATAAACAGCAATCAGTTCAGCACCTTTAGCTACTTGCATAAAAATAGGTACTGTGGTTGTTTGGCAAATATATAAAAAGCTTTTCAATACTGATCAAGAACTATTAAAAAGTCATTAAGAAGTAGTATGTACAGACAAGCATGCTGTAGCACTGACAAATATTCACACAGACCCCTGCAAAGGATAACTCATTATGAGGGATGAACATAAACCTGATATTTAATCTAACCACAGCTAGCAAGAAGATGAGTCTAAAATAACAATTATCTATCAGAAGAAAATAACCAGCTTTGTTAAACACTGTTTGCCTTCATTCTCATGCATCTGCTTGAGTGTGGGAGTGTATTATGCCATCAATGGCCAGTATAAAAGGATAGACATCTAGACTTTAGTAAGCTCACTGCTGTGGAAGCTCTGGTCAGGGTAAACAGATCCTAATGCAAGATTAGGTGAAACTCTAAAGTCTCTCGCTTTGAGGGTAACCAGAATGTCATTCACAGACATTTTTCCTTTGGAAAATAAACAGTCACATAGTACTGCCAAAGCAGCCCCAGGCTGTACCACTGAAGAATTCACAGGTTTTTATTTTCCCCTGAAATTCAGGAAGGACAAAGCTGAGAAATGGAGGGAAAGAAATTAACACTTGTAAAAATGTTAAGATTGGTGTTGGCAGGAGAACATAGCTTTGCGTTTTGAAGTATTTTGAAGGGTCAGGACACAGTAACTACAGAGGCACCACTGCCCAGGAGAAGAAAAAGTCCTCCTCCTTTCCTCACTTCCTGCAATCCTTTTGCTTCCTTCAATCTCCTTCCACCTAACCCACGTCTTTCCTCTCAAAATAGCTCAGATCTGCACAAACGGTAATTGAAGGAGCATGTCCGGTGTTGTGTAAGGTGAGTGATGTATGTTGGCTCAGGAAGGTGAGCCCTGCTCAGCCACACTGCAGCACAGGGAGGTTCTAAAGCACACCAAAGGCTGCAATTCTCTCTCCCTTGCCCAGGATGCCCAACTGTACAATGGTATCCTCACAATGCCACAAGCGGGTGGCACAACAGGGTGCCACAATGCTCTCAGCAAAATAGCTACACCATTGTTTTATTTTAACAGTATAATTTCATATCAATATCACAAATTGCCTGAAATCAATGCTAAATGACACCCAATTTTACCTCGAGCCTTACCTTCTTTGTGCTCAAATAATGCAGCTACTCTGACTTCTCCAAGGGACAATTGCACACAAAACTCACCAGTTATAGCTCTTGTTTGTAACCTCCTGTATCAAGGAAATCAGAGTTCAGGAAGAACTTTGGAACTTCTGAGCATAGGCCCATCTGGCCTACACAAACAAAAATTTCACTTAATAACACAGGTGTGAGGATTTCAACAAGTTTTAGTTTTACAGAGAAGTAACAATAAAAATTATTAATTCTTCACTGGCCCCATTCCCAGGAACTGGAACACTTCTAGGTTACTTTTAAAACAATGGAGAACAAACTTGAAGCAAACACTCAAGTATGGTGTTCAGTGCTTTGCCTGCTGAGGATGTGTTCAAGGGTACCACCTGTCTGCTTTGATAAAATATCACCTTGGATTTGAGGTCACCTTTGGCAACAATTTTTCTCTTATTTCTCTCTCTGCAAAACAGGCATTTATTATTTGGGCAGCCCTGCTTTAAACACAGTTTTGCCATCCATGGCGAGGGATAGCCTAGTGTTATAGTGTGCCCTAATTATCATATCATAAAAAGGCTTATCAGCAGGTCCCCCCAAGCAGTTTCTGGAGCCATGAACTTCTTCATTTGTTGCCCTCAGATTTTTGTCAGGGCCACAGGCTGAACAAAGGAGCACACAGGAGTAAATCAGGCTCCAATAGAATCAAACCTGTTCCAAGGCTGGAAGGACTGAGGAAGAACAGAACCAGTCCGACTGCTCAGCACTTCAGATCCTTCCTCATCCACCCAACAGTGACATGCACCCTTCCCTTCCTAAATTCCTGCACCTAAGAAATGGAAGAGGAACAGAGACCCATCAAGGCATACCCTCAAAAACTGAGCAGCAGCACCACTTCAGGTACAAGGTTGTATTAACTTCCATGTGAGAAACATGATCCATCCAGGAAACAGCCACTAGCAAGCACTCCTTCCTCATCTTGCTCTTGGCTGCCACTCTCCTGCAGAAATACTTCCTTCTCTCAGGTAAAATCAAGAGGCCTCCACAACAGGTTTTCCTCACACCTCCTTCACACTGGGCTGTCCCTGGTACATGCCATGGCACAGAGCACCTGCCAGCCAACACCCACGCTCTAAAACCAGGTGACAAAAGCCACTGCACACACTTAAACCACCACTAAAAAGGCAAGGACTTGAGAGCCCCACATGGGCACAGACAACCAGTGGAACACCAAGTTCAGAGCCTCAGGAAAAGGCCACACACTCATAGAGGAGATGCACATCCCCTGACCACCAGAGGTAATGTTTCACAGCCAGTAGAGAGATAAAGTAGCAGAAACCCATGCACTTCCTGAGCCACTGGGTAATACAGTTCTTGCAGCTCTTCAAACACAAGCAAAGGACTTGCTCAATAACACCATTTAGTACCCCATGAAATTCAGGCAAGGAAACCTTGCACAAATCCATTTGAGCCAATCACCGCAAAACACAAACAAAAGCCTAGCTACATTTCCTGGCTTAGCCTAATTATCTTAACTTCTCCAAAACAAAAGCAAGGGACAGCATTCTGAACCAAATCCAGTACACTGGGAACTTGTGCACATCGTAGCCCATGTGATGCTCAACCCACAGGACCTGCCAGAAGTAACTTAGCTAATGTGAAGCCTGTTCCTAGGAAAGGTGATATTTCATGTATCATGAACAGGATGCCCACTAACCTGACAGTTTTATAAACCTTCCAGCAATGGAGGGAACAGGTGAGCAGAACATGGAAGGCAACAGGAGGACATAACAGACTAGAAAGCTTACTAGGGAAAAACCTAAAAGATACATTGGAGGGAAACAAATTTCAAGTTCTGCTGAAAGAAAAACAGCAATAGTTAAGGAGCTACAGGTTAATTAAAAACCAATCAAATACTTCTCCCAAGGATAAAAATGCTAGCTGGCACTAGGGAAAGTGATGATCCTACCTCACCTCAGAGTAAAGACCTATGTATGGCCCACATGCACATCAGACCCGGCACCACTCACAGCTGCAAACAAGATGAAGTGTGTTTTATTTCACACACCTACAGTTACTGCAGTGCCAAAACAGGGAATTACAGATACAAAACTTCCAAATGCAGCTTTATACACCTTGGCATACAAAAAGGATATTTTACCTTCAACTTTAAGCTATTTCTGAACACAAAACCCTGTTGCAAAGAATTAAAAAGAAAAACACAACTTACCTTGCCAAGTCCTAATTTATGGATGTGTTGAGATAAACACAACTGAAGCTCTCCAATTGATAAATTTTGGTTGTATTCAGTACCCAAATGATCAGTGGTTTCTGATGCTATTTTTTTTTAGTTACAGATGCAAAATCTGCTCCTCAGAATCCAAATAGTGAACTAAGGTGTTCCCTTGGGCAGGCAGCATGACAGGCCATGTCTCTGTGCACGTGCAACTCAGAACTGTTGCAGACTCTTTGATTTATTTACTGCCTGGTTATGAACAGACTTAAGAATCTTCTACCATGTGACACTTAATAAAGGCTACAGATCTCAACTGGATTAGGATTACTGAAGGGATTATGAAGGAGAAATACAGCATGTTGGCCTCTCTCATCCTAAGAGTCAGCTCTTACACACTTTCAAGCTGCCCTCTGCTAAATGCAAGCTTCTGAAGGAAAATAATTCGAGGTTTCACCCCTTATTTGTGTTGGGCTGAAAAACTATTTTGATGCTTTGTAGCTAGAGAATCTCTAGTGCAGAACAGAAGGAATGTGGTAAAAGCAAGGATAATTTATCTATTTTTATTACTTCATAATTCCAGTACTTGAGAAAGCAGGAAAATCACTGTTCTTTCCAGTCTTTAAAAAGTGCACACACAGAGCAGATGAAATCTCACACAGAAATATGATCAGCAAGCTATTCAAATACCTATAAATTATTATCTCTTTTTTTTTTTTTTTTGAAAAAGCAATGACAACAAAGTCATAGAATACCAGGCTACAGAAATACTTCCAGGATGTTTTGTTCCAGTCTTTCTTGGCAAACTCATCCAAAACATCCAAACTTACAAAAAAGTCAATCATGACTACATTTTAATGTTTCCAGCATTAAGATGGTTTTGTTTAAAGTATTAACAATCACATCTCTGCATTTTTATCAAACTTCAGTTCTTATCATGAGCTAGCTACTCACAATTTAAATTATCTTATAACTTAAGATATATTACTAAGCAGTTGATCAGTATTCATATTTTTAGCTTGTTATTAAATGAAAACCAGGAAGTTATGTATCTTTTGGATTAGCAGAAAATCATTGAAGGTGGCAGAAAGACCTGATTTTGCTGGCAGTCAGCCTCTTGGAGCCTTAGTTACCACAAAAAAATACAAAGCTTTCAAGAAAGTAGTTTATAAGGGGAAAAAAATCTATATGCCTCACTTGTTTAAACCTCATAACCTCAGAGAGATGCCAAGCCACAAACACAACAGTGGAAGCAAATTGCTTCTTGAATATTCCTAGGAACTAACAACTTGGACATTCCAGGTTGTTTGTACACATGGAAACAACCAGGCCAAATTTATGTACCAGAGCATCTGGGCACACCCCTGCCAGAGGATCATCAGCCTAATGCTGCAGAGGTCAGGATGACTACACAAAGCCACACCTGTAAGGATCCTGTAGCTGTGGGTGGCTGTTATTTAAAGAAAACCTGGTGGGATCACAAATCACTGCCTACCTACTCTGTGAATTAAAGCAATGTCATTCTGGAATCTCAAAAACAGTGAGCATTTTAAAATCTTGCTCCAGGAACTCCTTCAGATTCATCATCTGGCTGCTGTACATCACTGTCTAAACTGGGTCAAGGCAAAGCTTGCAGCACTTCTATCCAGGCAGGAGGAGAGGATGCAGGTAAGTAGGTTATGAGACTCAGCACAAGGAGATAAAGGGCTCTCAGCTCCAGAAGGTACTCTCAGAGCAGTTTGCATAACCAGTGCACACCCACCACAGGCAGCATGGCATGGATCTGGAAGTGGTGCTCTGTCCCCTTCACACAGGCGACATTTTATCCAAATGAAGAAGGGAACTTGCCAGCTTTACTTGAAGCCACCCGCTGACCTCAACTCTTCAAATCCCTCAGTGTTTCAGGAGTACATCTAAGTGTCTAAACTCAATATACAGTCACAGCACCACCTGACAAAAGTCCCACTGCTCTGCACTGTAAAACAAGACATTAACTTTTACTGCAGGTAACTTGATCTGAACGTACAAAAACAAATGCAAATATTTTTTAACCTCACTGCTACCCAACACAACCTCCTCTCATCCACCAAGGAGAAAAGGGCATTGCCACAATTCCTGAAACAGCTCCTGATTTCTGATAAATAAAATACCTGTACTCTACAGCTGTATATGCTACTGACTGCATATGCCTAGCATCTGACCCTGCTAGGCCCAGGATCAACAACTCCTCATACATGGAGGAAAAGGATGATGACCTAGAAGTAACCCCACAAGCCTTCAAACTATCAGCTGAATATTTTTATTTAATTATTCCAAACATACAGGCTAAGTAATTTACAAAACATATTTATTAGTCAGCACAGAAGTACACTGCAGTTGCACAACTCATACTGAAAATAATACAAGCCATTTTTACCCATCAACATCTAGTAGAGCATCAATTAAATTACAAGACATTTCAAGCATTCATTACAGGTCATTAATAGGATCACCTGCAACACTGTGAAGAGTCAACAAATCAGTGTTTCCTGAATGGTTCACATCTTTCATGAACCAAAGCCACTGTATTTCTCCCAGGAGTCATTTTAAAAGCATATGTTAGTCTTGCACAGCTTCTGCTTCTCACTCAGTGTGTTGAACTAGAAAAACAGGCAAGAGAGCACAGGTTTGTCCAGAGTTAAGTGATAAACAAGTTCTATGCAACCTCTAGAATTATTCTTGCTAATATCCAATCTGAGAGAACTGCTACAAATATAATAGCAATAATATTTTTAAAGCCTCTTTAAACTGGAATACAGCTTCTTATGGTCTTGCGAAGGCCTTGTAACCAGTTTCTTGGCATAGAAATTCTCATATTATCTCTCTGAAGCTGTCCCATGAGGCACCTTGTGAGCTCAAGAACTTGGACTTATTCTGCACATTCACAGGACAAAGCCCCCAAAGGATGCTGCTCACATGCAGTCAATGGTGAGCAGCCATTACCAACCAAGTTTGATTTTTCTTGGTGCTAAGTGCACCATCCTCTCCTGCTAGGATTCAGTTCCTTCTGGCAGGGCTTCCTGTTATCATCCACCTGGAGACAAGCAAGTTCCATAGTGGGGCTGGTAAAAATAGCCAAACATTCCCAGAGGCTACTTCTACCTTTAGATTGCAACTTCTATCCCTTCCTCTCTGATCAAAACCCTAAGATACTCTCCAAGAGTTTCACTAGGAGAGTCAATCTTTAACTCCCTCTAAAACAACAAGGGAAGGTATTTATCCAAGGGCAATAAACAAGCAGAATCAGGAATTCAGACTGGGTCAGAGTGCCACTGCAATGCTTTGTCCCTCAGTGACTTTGCAGCTGAAATGGTTGTGTAAGTACAGATGCCACTTACACCTCTGCCACTTCCACCTCTTCACTCCGCAGTTCTCATCCATGTCTGGTACCGATCCGGAAGCGCAGCACTCATAACTGTGGTGTACACTGTGTTACTGGCAGGGAAAGAGCAACAGAGCAAGTGAGTGACATCCCAAAGGCAGGAAGGAGAATCCATCTAGCTAGCAAGGCAGCAGGACGAGTATTTATGAAACAAATATTGTGCTTAGGTACAGAAGGATTAGGAAAACAGACTGATAAAAGACTATTGGCACTAATTTTTAGGGTTCTTTCCCCCACACAGCACAACAGAGCAACTGTATTAAACAATTGATACTGTATCTTTGTCACAGCTGAGATTAATCTTTCCTTTCCCCATTACCTCACATCAACATGGCAGAGGAGAAGTAGAAGGAGCCATTGCCAAGCTCCAATGACAATGACTGATGCAGAGAATATGACCAAGCTCCATATAAAAGTAAATCATAACATGATAACTTGCAAAAGTGCTATTTCTGGAACAGCACAGAAGAATGGTGTATGAAACACATTGTTGGAAATCCAGTAAATGGTGTCTAAAAGATTTATCCCACTTCCTTTATTACATATTAATCAGAGCTCAATCGGAAGCTACTGTCAGTGTTAACATAAACCTGAAATTTCCAAAAGTGGGCAAAGGAGTCCGTGTCAGATGCAGCTGCTCCTCCAAAGGAGTAATTTGTTTCACTACTCCGAAGCAATTTCCCATTACCAGACTGAGCACAAACAAACGCAGTTCCCTAACTGAAGTGGCAGATCCACAAGGAACAGTGTTGTGAAAGTAGAGGGCCACAAGCACAAGCCAAAATCTAAGCTGGGAAACCACGTGACTCAGACATAAGGAAGATCCTAGAGAAGTTTGTGGCACAGCAGGAGGCACAGGTCAACATCTCTCAATCTAGTACTTACTTGTTTAAGACTGGTTTCACTGACAACACCTGTACAGAAAGTTGGAAGAGTTGTCATTTGGGGAGATAAAGAGGGAAGTAAATGGCTATTTAGAAACAGCAGCAGAATGAAGTTATGAAAGGAATAATATAAAGTCAAGGACTTCCTGCCTTTTTTAAACATCAGACTATTTTACAGAAGTACTTTCAAAAAAACCCTCTGAAAGACACTCCAATTCCCAAAGGTCACCATGTGTAACACTAAGCACCTGTGCTTGAAATAAGAAACTGCACTAAAATGATGGGATTTACCTCCCACACTTTCCACCTGAATTGGTATAACCTGTTCCAATACAGGAATCCAGAAGCATTTTGAACAACTTTAAGTCTTCAACCCTGTAGAGACACCTGTGCAGTAAGCCTTGTTCCCCACAATAAAGCACAGCTTTTACATCCCTGATAAAAGAACACTTCTGCTTCGTCAAAGAACTTGAAGAGCAACTCACAATGCAGAATTTGAGAAATACCTTAAAGAGTGTATCAAAGTTGATGTTGTGCTGTCCAGTAGCATTGAGAGCTTTGATGGCTACAGTTCTGTGGGAAAGCAACACATTATCAATTAAACACACTTGTCTGTTCCAAAGGCTACAAAGCAGCAACACAAACACCTTCTTACTAAAGGCCTTGACATTGCAATGCCTGCCTTGATCTGAAAAAAAACCCAAGTTGTGTGACTAAATCTCATCTCACAGTGTTGAAGTTCCTGTTACTACTCTATCAAGTACACACCAAGAAGGAGCCTGCCAATCACCTTTTGCACACTACACAGCCTAAAAATCCCATTGAAGCACCTTCCTAGTGTCATCCAATACTTTAGCAGTGTTCATCTAAGTCATTTACCTTCTACTAAATTTTGCTTTCTGAGCAAGTTTTTGGCCTATGCATTATCTTTACAATTTCTCATTCTTTACACTAACCACTGTCTCACACCCTTTCCTCTGGCATCTGTGAATATTGCTCTATACCATAGATACTCCCTTCAAAGTGGCTTTACAGGAGCTCAGTGAGCTGCCTGCTCAAGGAGCAAACACCTGCCCATACCTCCAGCCACTTTTGCAATACGTGTTCTCTCCCCACAGAGCTTGCAATCAATTTACCTGCGATCATCAAAAGGAGGAGGGGTAGTCCAATGATCATAGTTTGTCTCCACACGGAACCACCTGCAACAAGCATATAGGCAAACAAAAGGTGAATCACTAGGTAATGCATAAAGTCCAACAATCAGTATCCCTATAGTGCCAAAAGGAAAGAACTCCCTCAAAAGGCAATTCCCTCTGCTTCTGCAAGGCCAAGGGCCCCATGCTGGCAGCTGTAACAGCCTTTACCATGAACTATGGAACACAGGAACAGGGTGGTGACCCCCTTCTGCTGTAACCATGACCAAGAGGTGCCCCAGATCTCTCAAGGAAGTTGTACCACTAAGCCAGTCACTCAGAAGGGAACATGAAAAGCAAAAACCAAGTAGTTTTTTCCCTACTTACGCTCCACCTAAGGGATCAAGAGGCCAGAGATCTGCTGGCCCTCTTCTATTCCTTGTTATGACCATGCCTTCTTTGGGTGAGACGCCTCCCACAATATAGTAAACCTCAGCAATGATGGGAATGCCAGCCAGTCTGAGAACAGCCGACTGGAAGTCCTCTGCTTCGCTCAGGGTCTAACACAAAAAGGAGATGACAGTGAGGTTAAGCACAAAAACAAGCAATGGGACATCTCCAAAAGAAAAAGGTCCAGCTTTTCTGAAAATGGTAATTGACTCTAAAGTGCTACTTGAAAATATTAATATAGCAACATAACAAAATAGCGTAAAATAACCCCAGCACATGTAATCACCATCTAGGAGTACAGATGTATCAACTGGTTGTGACAAGTCACAGCTAGTTAAAACACTCCCTAGGAAAAAAGTCTTGGTACAGCTTCTCCAGGACCTTTGGCACTGGAGGTTGCCCTCCAAAAGGAATTACCTCCTTACTGAATACAGGGTCCACACTTAGTTTCTCCTGAGAAATCCATTTGCTTATTGAGTTGCTAAGTCTTCTGTGCCACTAATTCTAATTTACTAGGATGTTTAAGGACAAATGTGGCACGGCTGTGAAATCTAAGATCAACTCAGTACACTTACATGTCGCACAAGCCAGCTGACAGGGTAATTCCTATTGAGGAAAGCAGCTATAGCATTTTCCCACCATCT